AAAAAAAGCAAGGAGAGAGAGCGAGCGAGAGAGAGAGAGAGAGAGACTTCCAAAAGACCTCAGGAAGGAAGTAAACAGATTCCATACAGTCGGGGTGCCAGGACAATGCGGCTTCAATCAGAGGGCTAGAGCAGAAGCTCTCTCAGGTTTCCGCCTAGTTTATGATGCTTTGATTATTGCAAGAGGAATGTCAGCCCCATGCAGTGGGAGAGGACAGGAAGCACGTGACGGGGAGTCACCTCGTCCCTGGCTTGGCTGTGGGACTTTAACTAAATCACCGCATCTCTTTGAGCCTCAGGGTCACATGTGTGTCCACATGAAACTTTTAGGACAGATGTCTCCAAGACCCCTTCTAACTCTGAAGTTCAGTGATTCCAGGATTAAATTCTAAAAGAGCTTGTAATTGCCCTGGAAGTGTCTTCCTCCAGGTAAAACTGAGGAAATGGAGAGAATAGCAGAAAGGGAATTTGTCCATGAGCATTTTGAAGAGTTTGTAAAAAGGAACAGAGCTGGGGGAGGGTGTAGCTCAGTGATGGAGCACGTGCTTGGCATGCATAAGGTCCTGGGTTCAATCCCCAGTATCTCCATTAAATAGATAAATAAACCTAATTACCCCCCCTAAAACAAAGACAACAAAAAAATTTTAAAAACAACAAAAAAAGGAACAGAACCAATGAGAAATGTACGCAGGGAAACTAGACTTTTCCTGGGGGTCAAATACCTCTGTTCCTACTCGTGTCTTATGATTACCAACGGGAGGGCAAAAGCAACCTCAGGTCGCCCCCTCCCTTCTGGAAATCTCCTCAAAAAATAAGGTGATGCATGGTAACCTGAAGAGATGTAGATAGATCTATGAGGCATCAGCAACTGATCTTTGTCATTAGCCAGGTCAGGCCTCACGCTCTGTGGACCACGTGTACAAGTGGGTCACCCAACACCCAGAATTAAAGCAAAGAATCTGGAAGGATAAGTCCGGCAAAATGTGGAATGGCCTGGGGAGGTGTCAGGATAGAAATTTTCATAGAAAACTCTGGAAGCACCAAGAAGCCAGAACAGTTGGGGACTGGTTACCTTCTCACAAGGAGATCCTGTTCCGGAGTCCTCAAAAGCAACCTCCAAAATAGCCAACTGCTGCCTAAATGCCTGCCCTCAGTCACAGGCGACTCCCGGCAGAACCGTGAGGAGTCAGTGCCGACACGTGAGTGCTGGAGCTGGGGGAACATATTCGTGCACATCTCCTCCTGCTGCCAGAGAGCCAGGTTTGGGTCCAGGTTGCTCTGGAGAAACTGACAGCACTGTCTGTGAGCTGGAGGACGAGGGCCTCCGAGGGGGCACGGCCCCTGAGGTGCTCAGTACAGCGATCCCTCCTGAAAGCCAGTGAAGTACTTGATGCTTCATATGTAACTGATTGTCATCTCCGGGCAAGAAGCCACCAATAAAGACCCATGCCCGCGGTGGGGTGACGTCATAATAGTACGTGTGTGTACGCAGTTCTGCATAACAGGCCTTTCATGTACGCCTCCTCTTCGGTGCTCAGGACAACCCTGTGAAGCAAACAGAACTGATATTATCACCCCGCT